AATCGCATAAACAATCTTAAGGTTTTATGAGACCTTAAATAAAAAAAATGACAACGCATTGAAAAACTATTATTAGATATTAGAATATTCTGCAAAGTTTTAAAAACTTGCCGAGGCTATTAAGGTTGTATGAATTTTTGTATAAAAACAATGGCAAAAGATTGAAATTTTAACAGTTATTAGATATAACATTAATAAAACATTGTACAAAATTTTAGAATTTTTGCGAGCCCATTAAAAATGTTATATCTTGACTTCTTATCCTGAACGGCAAAATTTTGATTTAATTTATGAACGAATGTAGCTGCAAGAATGAGACAATTTTGTACTTTTTTATAATTGTTAATACATGTTTTAAGAACATTTTAAATTTGAAATAATATTAACTTTGAGGACAACAGAAAATAAGGAAAAATAACAATTGTATATAGTAATTGTAGTCAGTATAAATAATTACAAGTCAGATAAGGTCCTATCAAAAAATGTCAAAACCATATATTAGAATACTAGAATACTAGTTTTCCTTCTAACTTCGATATTTAACGAGTTACGTATGATTATTTGGCATTTTATTGATGTTGACAAAATCCGACCATCCCAACGTCGAAACGGCGAACTTTTGGCAAAAAATTTCGTTTTTTCTTAATAACTCCTAAACCGTTAGACTTACGCGAAAATTGCACAGAACCTATCTTGTAGAGGACGACGAGATCTACAATTCCTGTATAAAAGTTTGTCGTTAGCATTAATAGTTTACGAGTTATGGACGAAAAACGAAAAAACAGTTTTTTGCAAATTACTCGTTAACTATTGACGCTAGCGAAAAATTTTTACATGGAAATTATAGATCTCGTCATCCTCTACAAGAAAGGTCATATGCAATTTTTCCATATATCCAATGGTTTGGGAAATATTGGCCAAAAACGAAAATTTGGAAGAAATTGAAGGGGTACCCCTTGGAAAAATCTCGGAAAAACCGAAAATTTTTTGTTGTTGTTTATTATTAGCAATGTTCTTCCGACGTCTGATTTCTTTTCAAAAATGCGTTTCTAAAGTGCATAAACTTCTGGGATTGATTGTATAGCCAATACATCCTTAAAGACGCACGTGGGACAGTTTTGAAAACCTTATTTCAATATGTATTTTTCCTGAAAATTTATCTCGTCAAATATTAACCTTAGCTTCTTATCACATTTCTTAAACTTTAACCAGGGATCTTACGGCTCATACAACTTTAAGACCTAACGGTATAAAAATTGTTTAAATATCGTAAGTAAAAATTTGAGATCTGGTTTCGGTGTTTGAAAGATATATTCCCTCTTCAATATCCATTGAACAGAGAAAAAATTGTATGGTTTCAGGGATAAGCGGGATGCAGATTCGAGTAAAGAATGGTCGGTCGTCTTGTGAAACAGAAATCGCAACCCCGGTGCCGGTGGATTCCCTCTCGTGCAGTGATGGAAAAATCGACGGGACAGGAGAATCGAGTTAGTCGTTCGCGGCGGAATAATTCATGGATCAGGTGGAGGCTGCACCGGTCGGTAGAGGCCATGCCGGTTGGTCCAAGGGGGCCCGCACTTCCGCGCTTTATTCCGCTGCTCGTTAATTCACAGACTTTTCCGTGGAATGAATCGCCTCCTCCCATAGAGGAATCCAAGGTAAAACGACAGCCATAATCGTTCGGACGGCCGACCAGGATTTTTCCTCCGGGACATTTATGGCCAGCGAGACCTGAGATACGGTCCATTGTACTCTCTTTTCTCTCTGCGACCGTATATTTTCTGTATGCACCGTCCGCCCGTACCGAACTCATTCTACTACCTAGTTTTTCCACCCGCTCGTTCCACATTGACAACCGTTCCGTTTCGTACGCCTATAAGCCCTCGGCGTCGGCACAATTAGCACCAGCTGACTCACGCCGGAATCCTTTTTGCATTCGAATACCCAACCGCGTTCCGCATTATTATTCGAAAGAAACGTTTCTTTTATCAGATTCAAATTTCTTACGAGTATCTTGCGAAAACATCTGCTTAATTCCGTTTATCAGAAGTCACACACACAGATTTCTTCTAATTCCTGTTATCAAAAATCGCAAACAGTTTGATACTTGTGAAAATTCTGCAGCTTCCATGAAAGATACAATCTATCTATCTCTCTTCGTCTCTCTCTCTCTCTCTCTCTCGATCCATACGTACTTATACTTGCGATTTCTAAATAACAATTTTCTAATAAAACCAAAACGCGAATTAACGTTACGTACGCGCAGCTGTTATAAAGAACTGGCCGCCCATAATCGCACGTTACCGAGAGACGTTTACAGCAGCCCTGTTGCGTTGAAAATAATAATGTTCACGACCCCGAGCAGTAACCGAGAACCCGGGTTAAGGGTTTCGTTTACCGCAATCCTGTACATTCGTTACGTTATACCGTCGACTGCAGACACGTAGGTTATACCATACGGCTTGTTCTTGCAAAGCAAGTTCAACGTTTCCTATCGTTCCTCTACCGAAGACGAGGCGTCGTCCACGGGTATCGTTGGATCCGCGGTGCAGAGGAGGAACGACGGCCGTGCGCAGAGATGAAATTCCCACAGGCCGCCACGTTTCCAGAGAACGAGAGAGCACGCGAGAGAACAATCGCTGATAATTGCCGATAATCGACGGCCCCTGACCCTGTAAATCTGTTTCCTTTTTCTTCACCAAAAGTTACCATCGATTATTTTTTTCCTTCCCGTCCGACTGTTTCATCTATTTCTCCAAGTTCGACGAACCTGTGCCGAACGTTGACCCTCGGAGACTATAATTTGGGTTGCGATTAGTGAAATAATACGACAGGAAGTCGAAAATATGACGCAACGTGAATCCTTTTATCTCAACACTATTATTATTTGGCAGACGTGTTTGACGCGGTTCTGAAGCGTAGAACGGTTGTTACGATATTGTAAGTCTATTCTGAAGAGGAATAAATTATTTGCACATTTTCAAGAATCATCGGGACAATTCCGGTGAACCTAGTCCTTATCAGTGAACGTTGAGAGGAAAAGATGACGATCTTTCATATGACTTGCACGCATCGAGAACAAGGAAGTTATTTGCATGCCGTGCAGGTATCGTATATCAGAAGTTTGACTTGTTATCAGCCCGGCTGATACCGTACTCCCGACGAACATCGAATATATTCACATTGTCTTCGAAATTCCACAATAAAATAGAGAACAGGACTTCGCTGGTTGTAATTCCGATATTAATAGCGGAACCTGTTGCTAAGGCGTCAAGGTGATAAAGTATGTACTATGAAATGGGAAGAAAATACTGCCGCATAACGAGCATCATCGCGAAGAGTTCCGCGACGTCTGTGACGTCGCAGTCCCGTCGTCGTCGTAGCTTTAGATTTATTAAGGGAGATCGTCGTCTCAAGTCTCTTATTATTACAGCAAACAGCACTACCTCAATTCGTGGACTACTAATTCTTCTAACGGTAACGGGGCGAAAGTTTACCGTTCGGATTATCGGAGCTTAGATTCTGTTTGATTGTACAGGCTCAAACAATAAACACGATAATTATTTGAATGGAAACCCGCGGCGCGGTACTTGCACCACGGACTCGGAACAGGTTCCTGATTCCATGTGACATTATCTTATTTACCGGATTTTTCACGCCTCGATTTGTATCATGTAATAGCCGCTCTTACGTAGAGAATAAGAATTGATACGTCACGAGAAGCGATAAGCATGTTATCTGATAAAGATCGTTTTCGCGGAAATCGTTCGAAATGGCAAACTGGACTCAAACGTTTTAATTGTAGTGCCCTCTGAAGTCCTCGACTTACAGCGATAAACGTAATCGTGAATGTAACGAAACCTGTTTACTGCACGACTGATTTTCTGTACGCATTGCGAAACATTTACCTGAATTTTATGCATGAAGTTTAAAATAAGGATGAATAATGTAATCGTTGCCCTATTGAAAGAAATAAATGTAAATATGAAAAGTTGTTCAATACGTTTTTTGCTAATCGTGGATCAGTTAAAATTGTTATTGTGTAGGCGTTCCAGACATTCACCTGGATTTTATATAAAGAGTTTAATACGGTTAAACATTGTAATTGCTGTCCTATTAAAAATATAATATAAGTGTGACAGCCCGGCGTTTAACATTCCTGTATATTTCGTAGTGTAAAATCGTAAGTGTAAAACGAATTAAAATTGATATTCTGTACGCTTTGCAAAATGTTCACCTGGATTTTATACAAAGAGTTTAATAAGGATAAGGATTGTAATTGCTGACCTATTGAAACAATAATAAAAATGTTATTTCTTGTTCAGCAAGACTTTTGCTAACCGTGGACCAGTTAAAAATAATATTCTATAGGCGTTCCAAACGTTCACCTGGATTTTATACAAAGAGTTTGATAAGTATAAAGATTGTAATTGCTGTCCTGTTGAAAGAATAGTAAGAGTGTGGACACTTGTTGTTCAACAATTTGCTAACCGTGGAACTTCGGATTAACTTTCGGACATCCGACTCGGAGTGCATAAAAATGCGAGCGAAGAGGGAAATAAAGATTGGATCTACGGCGGAACGGCACCGGGTACGCGATTCAGCAGTCGTATTCGTGTAATGTGTAACAGCATCGGGCGTATAACGATCGGGACACGGTTTATGCCCCCTTCCACCTGGACGAAGCCGCGATTCCTCCTTGTGTACACGCACACACGCGTACGCACGCACGTGCAGGGTGTACCGACGTTACGTACGACGTTGAACACACACGTGGGAAGCCAATTGGAGAGCCAAGACTTGGCCAAGTCTTTATAAGTAGGAGCCATCCGCGTCCTCAGGACTTACTCCCTCTCGAGAACGTGCCACGATCGGCAACCGATTTCCAGAATAGTTCCTGAAAACGCGTCTCTGCTGGCCATCGATCTTTTTATCAAGCATCTCGCGACCACGGGACAGATCGTGGACCGCATCGGTGCTTTAGGAAAAATTGGGAACTAAGTTGCGAGATGAAGACGCGCGCGTGTTAAAACCAACTTAGACTTCAACGTCACCCGTTGAGGTGAGTAAATTATTTTTCTATTACAAGTGCCGTGAACTATTTATCGATTTTAAAAAAACCCCATCTGAGTCCACTTCGTTCTTGAGGAAGCGATCTTTCCCAGGAACAATCGTGCCGCGAGTGATTTATTTCAATTTGGAATCACAGTGTTATGTATTACGAGTGAACATCTTGGTGTTTCCATTTTCTGGCAATATAGTATTTGTCGCATCCTCGTCGACCTGATCGAGCATTGACATATATTTACCAAAGGAAATCTCCCAATTTCTGGTCGCTGGCTTAGTTTCCTATCAAAATTCACTCACTTTATTTCTTTTATAATTTCAAGAAATCATATAAGTTTCTAGTCATTGGCTTATTTTTCTATAATCCTAATGTATAAAATTATTGTAGAAATATATAGCATTGAGTAGAAATTGTGACGTGAACAGAAATTGAGAAATTTACCTTAGTGTACATCTCATGGTATCGTGCTTTGATTCGTTATTGGAATATTAATGAGAAGAGTAATCAGACGATTTGGTTTGGCTACGTGCACACTGTCACTTTTAATTAATAGCATATTCGACGACTGAAGCTAGATCAAGGCCGTTCCCTGAGTCACCTGTATATTATCAGCATTTATTTCACGTATTATAATAATCGTGCAACGATGACGTAAAAATTTAGCTCGATCAATTCGATACATCGCACGTCCTGATGAGTCCTTGCATGGCCACTCTGTATATCACGTTGCGATATAATTGCAATTCGACGAAATGAGGCAATGATAGATTAAAGTGCACACTTGTGTGCACGTTGATTGATACATTACTTGCTAACGTGATCTGATAATTATATTTGACGAAGCATTCTCTATTACTGAATACTATAATATCTGCAAACTACTAGTAGGATTCTTTCCTGTTTATAGAAGTAACAAATACTTTATTTTGAATTGAAATTCTAGTTTACTTCGGATACTTAGTATTTCTTTACATGTTACTGCATATTGTGTTCTTTTAAATTATTTTAAACTCCCATAAATGTATAAGTATTCGCTGTCTAGTGATAAAGCGAGCAACATTATTAGGGATAACTATTGGGGTTGAAAAATAGTGAAAATGGGTTTCTTCCTGTTTGTTAATATTTCTTTTATGCTATGAGGTGTCCAAGTGATTTTTGCTCGAACGTATAACGAAATCAAATGAATAAAAATGAATTTGTGGACTTTTTAAAATTCATACCTTCTTAGGTTTTTTTTTACATATATCTCAGTATTTTTAAGATTGATGACTTTTCGTTGCCAATGCAAATATTTAACAATTAAACGAATCATCTAATAAGGAGATGAAAAGGTGTAAAATTTATATTTACAAAATTTTCATTATCTTTCAAATTCCATAACTTAACGACTTGATTTTTGTTCATTAAATATTTCTATTCTATACATTTTGATATTGAAATTTGAATTGATTAAAAACGATAATTAAAGGGAGCGAAGCCGGAAGGGGGAATGCTATTCTCTGATACGAAATCGAAGTTTCTTCTAAAGTTTTTGAACCGTGAGGTACGAAAAATGGCACAGTTCATCAGCAACTCTTACGAGCTGCGATTACCGGTGTCGCGTAACTGTTTTACCGGGTTACAGACACGATTTACAAAAGTTACAGCGTGTCGTTAGCGGACGTGCGGACGTCGAAAAATTCCCAGGCCCGATTGCCGATTCTCGTCGCGTCGGCCCGGCCGAAAAATCGCTACCTGTATTTGGATCGGCCGTGCATTCCGTGTAACCGGCCAGTCGATCTTGGCATTGAATCGTTCGATGCAGCTTCTTGTCCTCGACATTGTCATCGCCGCGCAACACTTCGTACACCGTAAATGGACCGGGTTTTTCTTAAGGTCGGAACATATTTTTGGCGATAGATTAATCGCTAGTAGGCGTCGTTGAATATAGATAAGTAGGAAGTAGTTAATATGAACAGTAACGCTTGTTCAAATATTTATAGAGTTGCATGCGCAAACGTGATGCGCACTAGAGGACAAAATGTTGTGTCATTCGTCAAAATAGCTCGTTCGATGACTTAATTAATTTTACATAAAATTCAGTTCGCTATGACGATGTAAACTCTGACTAAATGATAGCTAGATGAAATGGAAAGACATAACTTTTACCGAAACACCTAGTTGCAAGCTGGAAGTAAAACGCGTTGTGCACACGTCACGGATGCACACGTGGGTTTTTCATTTTCTTTAACGATCCATTCTTCCCGGGGTTTCAGACAAAAACTGAGCATCCGCGAAGGACATTCCACTCGTGCGGTTCCACGAGCCGATGTGCACAACTTTTCTTGCACCGATTTATTTCGTTTCATTGTTAACCGGGGCAAGAAACGCATTACGGATGAATAATGCGGACTCGGGAAAGCATGAGTGCTTTTTGCGTTACTTAATCGATCACTCGCTTATGGTTCTACGAGCCGTAAAAGAAAAACAAAGCATTCAAATTTTAACAGGTATTAGGTATTACATTAATACAATATTGTTCAAAATTTTAAAAATTTGCGAGATTCTTAAAAAGTTTCATTAATTTGTTCTAAAGTCGAATTAAAAAGTCAAATTGCGTGGCAGCAGTTAAAGAAATTGAAATTGACCCATCGTCGAATTTATGAAGCATGAATAATTAAAAGAGAAAAATTAATAGAGAAAATGAATGAAAAATTATTAAATATAATATTTATTAAAATGAATTCAACCGATGCATGGTACGTTTACCGTTAAAGAGAAAAATCTCTGAGCGATTTCTCGTTATCAAAAAAATTACAAACCTTATCAGCAGAAAGTATGTTAAATTGCAGATAGTTAAAAACATTGTACGTAGCTTCATATCACTTTCATAAACATTCCGCAGATATCTCAGGGCTCATGCAACCTGAAGGCATAGTTATTCGCCGTCTAATATAATCCCCGCGTCAAATAAGTGAAACAAAAGAAAAGAGGCAGGATTTCTCGATCGAGAAAAATCAAATAAAAACATGCCGTTATTAAATGTGACTTTAATCGAAGCCTTGAGAGGTATCAAAGTTAAAAAGAAAAATCTCTCAGTGACTCACGCAACCAATGATATTCTCCTTGTAGAAAGAATCTATCTAATAACAATGCACCTTACTCTCAGCGACCATCATTGCAATCATGCCTAAACAATTTTCTCAAGAATTCCATTGTCTCCCACCTGCTTTAATTAGCCAGCCTGGCAACCGATTGACACTCTCGTTTACGCGTTCTTCGAGTAAAGATCATAATCGATCCGGCTAAATTCTAACAAGGTACAAAACGAACCTCGCGAGACAAATTGCTTTGGCGATAGCTTATTATTAATAAATCCGAAGAAGGGCCGATCGCGTGGACCGGAGCCTCGTTCATTGATTCTCTCGCATCGTAATTACGCCCTATTTATGTCGACGTTAATACCCGACGCGACGCCGCCGCGCATGTTTTCTCATTTTCTGTGCAAACGTGATGCACGAACAAATCTGAAGCCTTGAACCTCCCGGTTAGCATGCCCGCATGCGATGTATGATAAATCTGCGGGAGTTAGAAGTCGTGCCTACGAGGGAGGGCGGGCGGAGGGATCGCGGTCGCGAGCGAGGTGGACGGTAAAAAGGATCGTAGGGGACTGGGGTGAACGAGTGGTAAGGCTTGCACGCGCAATTTACAAGTATCCCTTTAATTGCGTGCCGCTGAGGATACGATTACCTCCGGCAAGGGAGGCCGCCGCCGGAGATCGCGAAACACGTTTGTCTCGACGCGCGGCGCCGCCGTTTCCAACCAGCGAAGCCGGAAAGTGGTCGCAGATTGAATTTAATGTTAGACCCGCCAGCACTTAACGTGTCGTATCGACAGATCGAAGACAGAGTCGTTAAAACACGTCGAGGAAAATTAAAAGAAGGAATTCACTTCGTGAGAACTTCTTTTATTTTAGGATGGGGGATGGGGCGATGGGGGCATATTTTCTATCAATTTTCTTGTTGCATTAGGAGAAAATGAGGTAAAATCTCTACTCACGTAATACTTGTCCTTTTCATGTTCCTCCAATTTAACGATTGTTAAATGAATTGAATAGGGAACGTTTGATTTTGTGAACGAGGAGTCCTGCGGTGACTTAATTACTTAGCAAATTCCCATGCCATTGCGCATCAACGATAATGTTAGGGAGAAGGGGGGAAAGCGTCGATGCGGTGGGAGAAGAAACGGCCTTGCGACTTTCAGCGGCAAGGCTGCACTTATTGCAGCGTAGCATGGCATCATAACAATCTAGGTTCACTGCACCGCGTCGCATCTGAATCGCCTATCTTCTTTGGGGTTCTACGTAGACTCCCATTATCCAGCTTCTCTGCTATTCGTTTCGCATCGTCCATGCTCGTTTACCGAACTGGTTCGATTAAGTAGAGGACTCCGCCACTCTTTCCCTTTCGTACGCTCCGCGCTCCCTCTGTACATCCGCTTATCTTCCCCAACCCTTTTTCTACCCTTTGTCGAATTTTCCTCTCTAACGAGCGGCGGACTGGATCCCGGCAAGTAGAGCAATCCGACGCCGGGAATTTCTCTTTTTAGAGCCGCGTTTATAGTTTCGAAGAACGATCCCCGGTTTCTGTACTTGTACGAGATTGAAAACTGGTTCGATCAGACTGGTCATTCCATGATCGTCAAGGCCGCGGTTGCTTCTTTTAACTTGTGAGAACCCGAGGATCGATCTATCTCACCGGTCTGATACATCTTCGTTCATAAATCTTCAGACACTTCCAACTGCTCATGAATGAAATTAATAAAATTACTACCTATTTATTACAGTAACAAAAAAAGTGGGAATTACATATAAGACCTAAAACTAATATATAAAATATAACAATAAAAAAATAATAATAAGTGAGGGTGCATACAATACTATTGTAGATAAAGTCAAGAATGATTCATGTGGACAAAAGAGTAATGAGGTCAAGTACTTCGCAAACTTTCACTAGTTAAATTAGAATTCCATATGCAATATAAATACTTCAGAAAATAGAAATAGAACTCGAACAGAAACAGAAGTATAGTCGTATCTATGCACAGTTGTGATAGGTCAGGAAAACGAAGATATCTTTATGATAGGCTTTAGGGATTTGCGTTGAACTTCCTCGATTGCCTGTATGTGAGTTTTATAATATGGAAACCAAGTGGTGGAACTGGTCTAACGAGAGAGTAATAAGCTACTTTTACAGTCTTGGAATTAAGGAAAATGTCCTGTAAATGAGGGTCTTAATTAATGTAATGGGTCTAAATTATGTAATCGTAAATAAATGATGAATATAAAAAATTGTAGTACAAATGAAGAATAAGGATTGTCATGTAAGACTTACAGAAACTTTTCCCTCTCATCTGCAATTTACTCGATTAGAATGAATTGCAAACAAGAATGTCTTTCTACGAATTGTCACGCTGCAATTTCTTTTTCCTACGTTGTCCGCAGATGAATTATCCGCAAGGATATCAATACTAATTTCGTTTTAACCAGACACCTCGATTTCCTGAATTGCGAGACGATTGATTTTAATTCGAGGCCATACGTTCCGCGATTGCGTTCCTTATCTTAACAGTCGTACCTGTCTCGCTTCTAATCAGGCGACGACGACACCTTCTCGAAAAAATAATGCCAGTCATTTGACGAGTTGCATCATTCAGCTCGTGCAGAAACATGTCAATCGCAATGAAGCATATAGAGTTAATTCATCATCTCGTATGAATTGATTTCGTCAATTCTGATCCCTCGGGTCGTTGATCCAAGTTTACGACCAATAAACAAGCATTAATTGTTAATTAAATTATTACTTTGGCAGGCCCGGCTGGAATCCGAAATCCTAGCCTTCCGGGTGCCCTTGGCTCGGTTCGTAAAACGGGAAACCACAGGCCTCGCGGGTAGATGTACAATTAATGATACCTTCTGACTCGTTTACTACTCTCCGAAAGTACCTCTCAGGCTCTTTCAAATTGCTTTGAATATTTAAAAAGCGTTCTTCGAAGGAGAATGCGTATTCTTATTCTCGAAGAATGCAATCCGTAATTCGTTGGCCTTGTAATTTTTACGACCGTAATATTCACGTGTCCCGCTGCAAATTAATTGCTAGAGAATAACTTGAAGACGCGCGTGTGCTAACTACTCGACGTCGGCCAGTCCTTGAAGCCTTTGGGTTGTCTCGATCAGCCAGCGGTAGCAGCAGGTGACGGAGTACAATCGTTTTATAAATAAGTCGTGTAACTCCTTAATGATCTGTCATTACTTCCATCCCCTCTCTCTCTCTCTCTCTAAACAAGTTTATGTTATCTTTTGGAAACGCAGTCGCACCTGTGCTTGCTCGTTATATTGCAAGTATTGGTCGTCCAGCTAAGTGCTTATAAATTGTTGCCGACGGCACACTATTAGTAGTAAATTATCGCTTAGATCGAGACTATGATAAGCGTTGTATTCGCGTGGGATAATAATCGAGATCTTTAATTAATATGCCAAAGAACAGTTCAAATTATTTATAGTAATTGCTTGCTATTTAACATACTTTCTGCTGATAAGATTTGTAATTTTTTCGACAATGCAAAGATCGCCCAGAGATTTAATAGTAAACTTAGCATACAAATGACGATTACCAAGAATTCTTGAAGAATTTTTCTGAACCACTTGTCTTCCGATCGAACGTTACTTAAAATGCGACCCGTGATACGCAATCCTTCTGTTTTTCGCGATCCTCGACGAATCGGGAACACGGTCCGCACGGGATACAGTCGATTTGTATTCAAACAGCGAATCTCGTGTGAACGAGGTCTGCACCTTCGACGAAATACGAAATGTTTCATTCAGGAAAGGTGCTTCACCCAAACGAGACATTCACACTATTTATTTTTCCACATGAGAAATATCCTCTTATAAGTCTATTTATTTATTTTCAAATTCAAGTTTCAATGGACTCGAAGTAAAATTTTATTCAAAATCTTCATTCGGAAATTCAAACAATTTTTCAAGCATTTAATTAAGTGTATACTCCAATGCCAAGATCATTGACACTGACATTGAATCGCGTGCATTATGTCACCACTTCTCTCTCTTTCTCTCTCTCTCTCTCAGGTTGTATGGTATGTAGTAGCGAGGAGCCGAGAAGAGAAGGAGCCGCATTCCCGCGTTATGTCACTGTTCATGCAATCCTCTTTTCACTCGCGGCAAGCAACAGGAGAAAGGACCAGAAGAGCGTAGCCGACGTTTTCAACGAGAACAGCTTTCTCTGTCCTCGTACCTCTTTACGAGCCGTTCAGGATTTATCGTTCCACCTTTCGACGGCTCTGTACGCGTCCCGACCGCGTGCAGTCGTAGGTCGTGCACAGCGCAATTCGTTACGAGGCTGTCATAGGCGAATGGTATTTATGGCAGCGGATCCAGTGCGGCGCGCCGTGCTTAGGCGGAGGTCCGGAGAGTAGCAGAACGTCGATGATTAATGAACCGAACCGAACGGAGACCTAATCGGTGACGTTGGCCCCAGTATGATTTATTTAACGTCGCGAATCGAACTCCAATAACTGAAACGCGCCCGGCAAAAATGAGTCGGTGTAATAAGCGAACAAACACCGTGACGTATTTCATGATTATCTTCGGAATGATTGATACAGCTCTCGCATATTCGTACGACTAAATCTACTCGGGAGATACGCTGACGCTGATAATGTTATATGGGTACGGGGTAATATGGTTTCAGATTAGAATCGATGACGGTTTCTTCGAGCCCGTTCGATGTTTCCGAACGCGTCGATCGATCTTCGGAACGATTGACAATATCAGCCGGCCGGAGATGCATCTCCGTGAAATATCTCGCGTTCACGTTCCTCGCGTGTGGGTGAAGATTCTAAATGCGAGGGGCGCGAGGAACGCGAGAGCGAATTCTACCGAAGAAACTTTTTTCCTGGCCGATCGCGATAAAACCGTAGAAACTGTTGGCGAACGCTGGCACCCGGGGTCTCGCGTGATGCTGCCTCGGACGTGCAACGAGATAAACGCGCGGAATGATACTTTCTGACAGAGGTGAACGCGCCTGACGATGGGCATTACCTCGACGCGGCGGTGGGTAGTTACCGGTAAACCGATAGCGCTTGGCTAGTTGAATCTCGGGTACTGTTATGTCATAAACGATCGAGAACACTGTTACCGTTTAACCGGTAATGGGTTGCATTAAATGATTTGCATTGTAAATCGAAGAGAGCGAAGGAGCCAAGACGAACTTAGTCATTCACCTCGAGCTTTCGCATTATTCCGCTCACGGGGTCGCTTATTTACGGTTTCGAAGACAAAAGGAAAAAGAATCTCTATCGGATTAAATCATTAAAGGCGTGTCGGAAATCAGTGTTAACGTAACTGTACAATCAACCGCGGATATTCAAATTGCTACCCTGACATGTGTGTGTGTGTGTGTGTGTCTCTATCGAAAAATCGGGGTCACGGATCACGGATCGTGGATACGCGTTCGAAATGAGAATAGGTTTGATCCTGGACGATCGATTATGCGGGAATTATTCTGAGTAAGGTCAGGGGGCCTGACAGTTAGAATCCCTTAGCCGAGGCTCCTGGGAGGAAGATTGGACGCGGGCCAAGCGGGACTAACTGTCTTCCATCGTTTATCTCTCAACGTTTATGCGAAATTCTTAACTGAGGAAACCCACGCCCATCGGCCTAGAAATCGGACCGGGTTACGTCACGTTGTATTGTCCCGTTCAAATGATGAATACTCGATTGCGATTCGGTCACGATTTATGGGTGTACGTCAGAGATCTGTGAACTCTCCTTCTACTGATGTTGAATTACATATTGTGTTCTCGTACATTTTCTTCAATTATTTTTTGAATGATGCTTTGCAATGAAAACTAATTATTGTCATAAATAAAAAACAATTAGTATAAATGTTTTAAACGTAGTTTTCCATAACACTTTTTTTTGACTCGCCAAGTATTTTGGAATTTACAATTTGGCCCACGTAGGCAAAACAATAGGAACCACTGCATTAACTGAATTGTTTTATTTTACAGATAAGTCAAATTGGAACCATGAGGACAGGCATACCGACATTGGGTGTCCTGACAATATTAATTTTATCAGCGTTCGGACAAAGCTGTAAGATTTTCTACATCTCATTTGTACTTCGTGTTAAAATTACTTTCGAGTACGCGAAAGGTTTGCGGCGAGGGTTCTTTTAAAAAAAACGCGTCAACTATCTATTTTCTTGACAAGCCCATTTACAGCGCGGTCTCGCGAGACGCGTGATGCGTTTACTGATTCTACGGAGCATTGCCACTGTTTTTGCTTTACTTCATCTCCTTCAGCAACGTTGTTGTTGTTGTTGTTGTTGTTGTTCTTGGTGTCTCGAAACTGGTTTCCTTACGAGTCGTCCAGCCTTGAACGCATCGAAGGCAACATTTCTGAGTTCCTCACGTTCATCACATACGATCTTAACTTTGAATTCTCCTATTCACTGTGAACCTTTCGATTATAGCATTAAAGAGTCAGTATTTTATTTTATTTTTTTACAAATATTTGTATTATTTCAGTGGAAGATGACGACTACTTCGATCAAGAAACGCTACCACCGGGTTTCATAAAATTGCCAGATACCCGTTGGAAATTTCCACCTTGGAAACCAGGGAACCCGGGATGGGGCAAATCAGGGTTCCTGTGTATAGAAGAAGGGTATCACCCCGATCCTCACGACTGTAGGGTGTTCTACAGATGCGTTGATTGGGGCAACGGACGGCCCTTGACAAGTTTTAGATTCGAGTGCGCGTACGGCACGGTGTTCTCACCAATCAGGGGAAACATCTGTACGCACCCGCACGAAAGCGGTAGGGAGGAATGTGGAGGTCGTTACAATACAACCTCGTCGGAGTCTACACGAGAGACGACGATAATGACGACTACGTACGTTCCATCGACTGAAATCACAACCACGACTAAGGAACCTCAAACACCGACACAGACAACGACGTTAAGTCCGCCCACGACGACTTTACGTCCATGGACGACGAGCATTCAAACTACAACGAATAGTGTACCGACGAGCAGCGGTCAAGTGCAATGCACACAGGAGGGATTCCTTTCCGATCCACACGATTGTAGAAAATTCTATAGATGCGTGTATGATGGCAAAGGGGGATTCACAAAATATGAATTCGAATGCGGGGTCGGAACTGTGTGGGATCCGGAAATTGAAGGGTGCAATCATCCATGGGCTGTGTCACGTGAAGATTGCAGAACAACTGGAACTCCAGGAATACCAGGGACTTCTGGATCTTCTGGCTCTCCAGGAACTACTGACACATCTGGAACTTCTACCGTTTCTGAGTCCACTGGAACACCTGGCATACCCGGATCGCCAGGCACTCCTGGTACTCCGGGCACGCCCGGCACTCCCGAAAAACCAGGTACGCCTGAAACACCAAGCACACCAGGATTCCCTGGCACACCTGGGTCTCCAGGAACTCCTGGAACACCTGGAACACCTGGCACTCCTGGTTCTCCTGGAACACCCGGAACGCCTGGCACACCTGGAACACCTGGCACTCCTGGTTCTCCTGGAACACCCGGAACGCCTGGCACACCAGGAACTTCAGGAACACCCGGTACAGCTAGTACACCTGGCTCCCCCGGAACTCCAGGGACTCCTGGCACACCAGGAACTCCTGGAACACCAGGCACCCCCAGCACACCCGGATCTCCAGGAACTCCTGGGACTCCTGGCACACCAGGAACACCTGAAACACCAGGCACACCTAGCACACCTGGATCTCCAGGAACTCCTGGTACACCAGGAACACCCGGAACGCCAGGAACTTCGGGAACACCCGGTACAGCTAGTACACCTGGATCCCCCGGAACTCCTGGGACTCCTGGCACACCAGGAACACCTGGAACACCAGGTACACCCAGCACACCTGGATCTCCAGGAACTCCTGGCACACCAGGAACACCTGGAACACCAGGCACACCTAGCACACCTGGTTCTCCAGAAACTCCTGGCACTCCTGGCACACCTGGATCTCCAGGAACCCCTGGTACTCCTGGTACACCAGGAACACCTGGAACAACGGGCACATCCAGCACACCTGAATCTCCTGACACACCTGGTACCTCTGGATCACCAGGAACTGATGGCACACCTGGTACACCCGGAACGCCTGGTACACCAGGAACACCCGGTACGCCTGGCACACCGGGAACACCCGGTACATCTAGCACACCTGAATCTCCTGGGACACCTGGCACACCTGGGTCTTCTGGAACTCCCGGAACTACTGGCACATCGGGCACTCCAGGCATACCAGAGACTCCGGGAACACCCGGTACACCTAGCACACCTGGTTCTCCAGAAACTCCTGGTACTCCTGGCACACCTGGATCTCCAGGTACACCAGGGACACCTGGCACACCAGGAACACCAGGTTCTCCCGGATCATCCGGAACGCCAGGTACATCAGGTACACCTACATCACCAGGCACCCCTGAAACTCCTGGCACACCTGGAAGTGGCACACCGGGATCTCCCGGTACACCAGGAACTCCAGGGACATCTGAACCAACCGGCACACCAGGTAGTTCTGGTACTGTTAGCACACCCAATAGCATTGGCACGTCTACAACACCTGGTGATTCCGGCACAAATAATACTTCTGGGAATGTCAGCACTACGGACACAAATGGCACAACTGGCACATTAAGCATTTCAACATCCACTATTTCTAGCACGTTTAGCACTGTCAGCACTACTGAAGCAACAAAAACTCCCGCAATATCTAAGACTCCATCGACTACTACTTCCTCAGAAACTGGCAGTACAAGTTCTACATTACCTCCCGAAACATCTAGTACAAGTGAATACACCGACACTCCCAGTTCCACATCCAGCCCTGAAACTACAACTACATCCGAAACTCACAAAACGACTCCGTCCACCGGCAAAACCCAGACACCACATAGTTCGAGTACTCACACACTTAGTAGTACAACCACTTCTGAAACTTCGACTCCCTCAGAAACTCCGAAACCGCCAAGTAGTTCAACTCCATCCTCTACTGTTAGCAGTACGACCACTTC